ATTTGGGCTTTTGCAGGAACCAGATTCATGAGCTCTGAATACAGACCTTACAAACCTGCTGCACGAGAGCCTCCAACAGACACCAAGCCTTCCACGGGAAGCACAAGCCAAGGCACAATGGGCAACAGTGCGATCGCTTTCAGACAGCACACGGCAGCAGCCCCAGTCTCTCCAGAGTGTGATACGATTGACACTAACGACCGCCGGTACGCGGGAAGAGATTCGCGCGCGGCCAGCTCCAAAGCCAAAGGCAAAGCCAAAGCCAAAGCCGCCCCCCAAACCCCCAAGCACAATCCCCGTCCCTACGCGTCGCTCTCCATGGTCGACTCTAGCAGCAACGTCCCCGCCTACTACACCTTCTCCGGCCGCCGTTCAACCCGACCCCCGCAACAACCATCATTCACCCGTCGCATCCCCTCCTCCGACGACCTGATTCCTCCCGCCCACGCCAGCGCGCCGTCGCCAGCCGCCGCCGCCGCCGCCTTCTCCTTCTCGCCGCCGCCGCCCGTGTCGGGCATCGCAGCCTGGAAAGCCCTCCCCGAGAAGATCCAGCGCGAAGACAAGGCCGCCGCCGAAGCCCACCCGCACCGCGTCCGCAGCCCCCACGCCAAGGTCCCCACCATCCACGAGACGTTCAAGAAGGTTGTCGTCGTCTCGCCCGAGGGAGACTTTGAGCAGCGCAAGGTCGTGAAGGAGAGCTTCCAGACGATCGAGTGAGTGGGTGAATGACTGGGTGGATGGGTGGGTGTTTCCAACCTGCTGATGCCCTCATGGCGCTAGCCGATTGGCGTTGGTTGCGGTGCTCGTTTCTTACTTAGCACTGCGAGGTGAGTCGTAAGGGCTAGGGTGCGATCCGATACAATACAATACAATACAATACAATGAATCCAATACACTTCGATAAGAATATGAATGTGCCCAGAGGAATTAATGCCGGTGAGACGTGACTTGGAGTCGATCATGCTTTGCTTGCGTTGCGTTGCATTGCGTTGCGCTGCTTTGCTTTGGTTTGCGACCTATTCTCTCGCGCCACACCCTTTTCTGACTACCTACCTAGGTACCTAACGTGGATTTCCCTCTGCTCCGTATCGGTATCGCAGCAACCCTCCCTTCACACTGCGCATCTCAAGCCCCGTGGAAATTCAAAAGCTCAAATATAAAATCTCTTTGTGTCGTCAAATTCAGAAGGGCGGGTGACGGTGACATTGACGGTGAAAATGACATTGACATTGACATCTATCTATCGATCCATCCTCCCATCCATCCTCCCACTCCTCTCCTCTTCCACCCTCCCTTCTGTCTCTCCATCGAGCTCCCAAGATCTCTCTATTCGCACTCATGTATCATCTTGTTAATCTGGAAAGTCTTAGCAGAACGACTCTTCGCCTTAACAAGTGAGATTCCCAGGTCCGCAATTAGGTAGCTGATTCGGTGAATCCTCCTCTTCCTCTTCCTGACTCCATATGAGACGAGATCCTGGCTGTGGTAGGAAAGCTGGCTTAGGCTGGGTATGCTATTTGAAACGCATGGAGAGGGAGGGACGGCACGGCGGCGAGAGATTGAGTGAGTGAGTGAGTGCATGAGTGCATGAGTCGTCAGCGTCGGCTTCAACTTTCCAACAGCCTAGCACTGACTGGCGAGGGTTGCAAAAACACCAGACCACACCACACCACACCACGAAAATACAGAGCAGTGAGCAGACTGGACCGCGATTTCATGTATGGTATGCTGCGGATACAGCCGCTATTAATCGGCAGCTACATACGATACGGAGAGCGGTCCTTCCTTCTCGTCCGCCAGGCCCAGTCCAGTAGCCAATCGCCACCACCACCACCACCCTACAAACACAGTTCTTGTAGCCATCCCCAACTAACTAACGCCTTCCGCATGATACCTCATCAAGAGACATACATGTCGATCTTATCCCATCGTACTGGGGCGATCCTGCTCCATCCTGACAGAAAAACAGTACAAGAGAAAGATAGATCGTCGACAAGGGGATTCGGAAAGGGGAAAAAAGACAAGGTATCATTAGAAGGGAAGCATCGTCTGTCCATAAACAAGACACGCTCCATTCAACGCAGATAGATGCATGCAGACCCAAACACCAACACCATGCTTGCCAAAAAACAAAAAAAAAAAAAAAAAAAGAGTTCGAGTGGCTCATGCCTAGCAACCAAGTAAGATAGATTGGCTTGCATCCGAGAACTTTTCATTTTCTCAACTGTTCTACGTTTCTACCGCCGCTCCGTGGTTGCGTTCTGCTCACCTCAACTCATACACACGACGGCCGCGCATCGAGGGACTTCAAATCCAGTCCATCTTGGTGCGCAGCGGCGGCCGCGTCTTAGATGGGCCTGCCTCAGGCGACCCGGGCGGAGTGACATGCAGTGGGCTCCTAGCAGGAACGGTGACCTTCTTCTCGGGCGAATAAACAGTCGGGCTAAGCGAGTACACCGCCGGGCTAGGCGTGTACACTGTCGGACTGAGCTGAGTGATCGACTCGCGGATCTTTTCTATTTGTGGTAGGTAGACCTTGGGCGTTAGGGGAAACGCCTTATTCATCGATGTCGGGGTTCTTAGTTGGGGCGAGTGGTTCCGACTTGTGCTGACGGGCGTGACGAGACCCGGCTTCGAAGAAGTGAGCGAGGCAAAGTTTGTCTGCACTTTTAACGGTGCGCCTGCGGATGTTGCTTTCGTCTTTGCGGCAGCCGGGGAAGGGGGGAGTGATCGTTCGGAGGCGGCGGAGTAGGTGTTCGGGGGTGTTGCTAATCTGGGGGCACTGCGGGGGGAGGACGCCTTTCGTGCCCCGGGTACTTGTAAGGTCGATCCCTTATATGTTGTAGATGGCAAGGGGAGAGTATCAAGGTCTTCTTGAGGGGTTGGGGGAGCGTGTGATAGTCGGAGCCCGATTTGCACCGTCGCTGACGAGCCGTCTGAGGAGTTTCTTTTGTGCCGTGGGCCACCGGTGTGCCTGAGAGGCGGTGGGGGCGCTAAGTCGCTGATTTCGTTGATGTCGCTGATGTCGCTGATGTCGTAGACCGAGTCCCTCTTTGGGCTGTTTCTCAATGGGCTATGATTCTCAGCGGGGAAGAGGGAGTAGGATGGATTTCCTGCGAGTGCTCGTCCCGACACTGCTGGGCCAGGGTTGACAGCGTCTGCCGCTCGAGAGATCTTTGGCATAGGGCTCATCTCCGTTTCCAGGTATTTTTGTGGTTCGTATGGTGTGCTCCGAAGGGACGCGATATATATTCCTCGTCCCTTCTCAAACCCGATGAGACTGGCATCGCTTTCAGGGCGACTCGCACGGCTCTCCAGGTCGTCTCTTAGTGTATCTGGTCCAGTTACTGGGTTGATCAAATGCGCCCGCATTGCCAATTCGTTTGGACCAAACATCCGGAGAGCATGTCTTGGGTGATCCCAGTCTTTTGTCATAGTCTTGGGTGCGAAGGATGTCGTGGTGGTATTCGACCGTAAGAACAGGTGCAGCAGACCGCTCATTAAACCCGACAAGTTCAGAACCACAGTCGCCATCATAGAGAGCTTGATGTCCCCCTCTTTGTCAATCAACGTGTAGAAAAATGGAGTAACGAATACCTGAAATGATTTAGCTCTTCTCTGCTGGCTATTTGAAGGCAAGGCGGGGGGGGGGGGGGGGTGGCAATTTACCAGTGAGATTATACCAAGAATCAAGTAGTACACGATCCGAGACGCCGCAATTCGCTGATGCTGGTCGATTAGATTTACGGTAGATAATCTCATAAAGATTGTAACGGCAGCAGCAATCATCAATACGCCTGTAATGCAGAGCAAAACAAAACCCAATAGTCCAAGTCCGGAAACAAACCAGATCAACGATGCGAAGCATGATTCGGGTTGTGGCCGGACGTGGGCGGGTATCCAGACCCCGATGATCATGACGAGTATGACTCCGAGGCAAATAGTGACATCCCATTTGCCTCTTGCCTGAAATGCTATGCTTCGGAAAGATCGGATGGCGCATTCTGCTCCAAATACCAGCTGGATAAATGGGACTACGAACAGAGCTGTGTCCGTTAGCCAAGTCCTGATTGAAGCGAATACCACACGGCGTACCAGGCCACAGGAACTGCGCAATTAATCCGCACGTATTCTGAACGAATAGAGATGAAAGTCCTTCTCCTTGCACTCCGGCAAATACAAGACCTTGAATAGCAATTCCTAGTGCCAACACCAAAGGAAAAGTTTCAGCTGGATGTATCGACGAGACGCAGATTTTCCTTATCCCACAGTCAGCTTCCTTGCCCTTCAATCACCTCTTACTACTCACGATGCCTTGAGTCTTGGATTGCATCTCTTCGAGGCACAATAACAGTCGTACAAAATACTACTGGCGGTGGCCAGAGCGGCCAGTACATTAAAGGTGGCGAGAATTATTGTCGAGGTCCTGACCGACTTGCTCTCAGCAAACACCAAATTTGAAATCAGATTGGAGGTCGAGTTCCCCGAGGATCCTGTCCGGTTCACAGCATTCTGAGAGAATGCAATCGTCCGGTTCCCGGTGTGGTTGAACATGGACCTGATCACCTTCTCCGTCAACATCCGTGCCGACACAGCCATGATCCCTTCCTGCATGCCGACGTCCATCAACTTCAAATATTATCGTGGGCAGGGAGCCGGAGCGTTGCCTTTCGTAGGGGTTGTCAAATCGTGAACATCGCCTGGGTCGTCTTGGTGGTGAAATAGAATGTCTGAAGAGAAAGACTAGATTATGGGAGAAGGTAGCGACAGAGAACACCGATAGGCCAGCCCGCTGGGAAAAGGAAGGATGAAACGGGGTCCTGAGCCAGCCAGCGGTGACGGAATGCACCGACGAATGAGAAGGTCGATGCGAAAGACCGACAGCAACAACTCGAAGAGAGAGTTGAGACAAAATATTCGCCTTCCCGGGATTGCATGAAGTATATAAGAGAATGCCCGAGCAGAGTTGGGAACTTGATCCTGGTGGCCCAGGAGCGATTGAAGCGAGGACCTGTACACTAGGGCCTTCCATGAAGCAGGGGAGTGGCTCCCACTTGAAAAGCCAATTGTCCCCGGGAAGGTCGCCAGTGGATGGATGGAGAAGCACTGAGTGCCTTCACGTCTGTATCATGTACCAAACTTATCATTGTACGAGAGACTTATTGCAGAGATACCCAATGTATCTGGGTCGATGGACCTCCTCAGGTGCAGTACTTCCCGGATGTCGAAGAAGCTGGAGGTATAGCATTCTGCATCGTAGCTAACCCAAGTTTGCACTTCATCCGTCGATGTGGCGGGAACAATGTGGCCTGGTCTTCCAGACTTCGAGGCGAGACGAGTGAGAGGATTGTTGATGTTGCGCACTTGAGGTTTCGTTGTCGTCGCAGGGTCTCGCTTAGTCCCTTGAAACCACGGGAACAGGGCTGTGGGATCAGCGTTCATGCAAACGAGGGCCGCCCTCGCGGCAACGTAGATGCTCTGAATAAAAAAGCGTCTAAAATCCCCGACCGAGATTCACTTGGCCGCTCTTTCAGAGAAGTCTTCCGGTGTATCCTGGGACGAGCGCACGAATATGGTTCGTCGCTCACCGACTTTGGGGCGCAGAGCACGGCGCTGAAGACTATCGGACGCCATCATATCTTGATGCATTGCATCTTGAATTTTGCGTCGAGGACAAGATATCCAATAAAGTGATATGGCACTCCGTTGCCAACGCTTGCACCGAGTCGACTGCTGACCAGGCACTTTGCGCGTTGAGCGTGTCTACGCAAGTGGTTGACCATTCGAAGTAAGCCCGACCAGTTCGTTAGGGAGCCGCGGGGATTCCATGGGAATAGTTCGTCCGGAGTAACATAATAGCCGCAGCTATTCTTCGGGAGTTTTCCCTTGCCGTCAAGCTTCGGGCGGGGTCCAGTGGCGTCCCATGAAGCTCGAAGAGTCGCAAGATATGAGATAAAACTTGTCGACAAACGTGCTGTCACGACCCAATCGCGAGAACGGAGGGGGCGGGTCGGGCCCAGATGATATCTGAAAGCGCGGCTGGAGTCGATGATAGATGAGCTGGATAGATGAGCTGGATATCGAGAACTCCGGCGTTGGTTCTCCGTCGTCATGAGGAGTTGTGGTTCGTGTCGGTCCGGGGCGCGCTAAAGCGAGCCGCGAAAAACGTGATCTGTTCTTTGCATCATTCTACCGGTACCGGTATCTGTGCATGTTCGAGGTCCGGGAATCGTTTGCACAGATATCATGTCAACATTGATTTCCCATCACTTTCACTCGCGTTAAAGTATCAAACCCACATGGCACAATCGGCACCTGTTCGGATCTTCGCCACATCAAGCGTCTTTCCCCGGCTTTCCTGTCCTTTGCAGAAAAGGCGTGGATCCCTTTTTGAGTTGTAAATATATTGCATTTCCAGCTGCGCTGCCTCCAGCCTTAAACTCGCCGGTCATTTATAGAACAACGTGCCCACCAAGCTTTCATTGTTGCATTACAATATAGATTTAACTGGTATACCGGTACCCTGGCCCCAGATCGCTTCTCTTTGGCCCTTCCCGTTGATCCGGTGCATCTTCCCTCCACGACGTGCCAGGTCAATCTATTAGACTTCTTCTCGTTGAGCTTGTCTCTTGCCGAGACTTTTTTCCGCTTATGCAGAGTATATTTTGAGTTGACCTTTGGGTTCCGCGGGTCTTTGCACTGCGCCAAAGGTGCTTTCAAAAGTATTTCAAAAGTATTGCCCTCATCGCCCTGCGACCTACGACCTGCGACCTGCGAGATAGGCCGGTCTCGATGAGGCGCTCGCTCCACTTCTCCCCTTCCGCCGAGAAGATTCTCTACGCCCGACCAGAGGGACCAGAGGGACCAGAGGGAACAGTGCATGTGACGTCAATTGCGGAGAGGCTTCTAAACTCCGACGATCTCCTTGGAAATCGCCTGCACCTTGTGGAAGACTCCGAACTCTTCTCTCCATCTCTCCAAAGACGAAGCTTTGCAATACAAGACCAACAACACCTCTTTATATATGGTCTTGCCTTCACACCAATTTCACCACTTCCCGCAAAATTCCCACAACTGCAGTGAATATGGCACCAACACTGGCAACGCGCAAGCTCGGCAAGAACGGCCCTTCCATCCCAGCCCTGGGATTCGGATTGATGGGCTTGAGCTCCTTCTACGGGAAGACCGAGTCTGATGAGGAGAGATTCAAGGTCCTGGATAGAGCATACGCTCTGGGAGAGACGTTCTGGGATTCGGCCGATATCTACGGCGATTCCGAGGACCTGCTGGGAAAATGGTAAGGGCCCCCATTGCCAATCCTCCTTCCTTTTTTTTTTTTTTTTTTTCTTTTTTGGATTTCGAAAGACATGATATTAACTGCAGCACGATGGAACAGGTTCGCGAAGACCGGCAAGCGCAACGACATCTTCCTCGCGACCAAATTCGCCAACAAGATTGTTGGCGAGGGACACGAGATGAAGCGCTCGATCGACTCCTCGCCCGAGTACTGCAAGCAGGCGTGCGAGAAGAGCCTGAAGAGACTGGGTGTCGAGACCATCGATCTCTACTACTGCCACCGCGTGGACGGCAAGACGCCGATCGAGAGGACCGTAGAGGCAATGGTGGAGTTGAAGAAGTATGTACTTCCACCCTTCCCTCCCTTCACATACCCTCGACTAACAACGTGGACCCGTGTCAGGGCAGGCAAGATCAAGTACCTCGGTCTCTCGGAAGTCTCCTCAGACACTCTCCGCAGAGCAGAGAAGGTCCACCACATCGACGCCGTACAGATCGAATACTCCCCTTTCGCCACTGACATCGAGCAGCCTCAAATCAACCTTCTAGCCACCTGCCGCGAACTCGGCATCGCCACCGTCGCCTACTCGCCTCTGGGCCGCGGCCTGCTGACCGGAGTCTACAAGTCCCCCGCCGATTTCGAAGACGGCGATTTCAGAAAGTTCTCCCCGAGATTCAGCGACGAGAACTTCCCCAAGAACCTCAAGCTGGTGGATGGGATCCAGGAGTTGGCGAAGAAGAAGGGGTGTACGGCCGGTCAGCTGACGTTAGCCTGGTTGATGGCGCAAGGAGAGGATATCCTGCCCATTCCGGGGACGAAGAAGATCAAGTATCTGGAAGAAAATTTGGGGGCGCTAGATGTCAGCTTGACGGACGAGGAGGTGAAGGAGATTCGTCAACTGGTAGATAATGCCGAGGTGCATGGGTCGAGGTATCCGGAGGCCATGATGTCGAGCTTGTTTGCTGATACACCTGCATTGTAGTCGGCAGGTCTGTTCAGCTGGCGGGTATACCACGATCATATGAAGCGCTAGGTTTCTTCTTCCTCTCCGTCCTCTCCTTCTCCTTCTTCTTCTTCTTCTTCTTCTTCTTCTTCTTC